TAGTCAAGAGCAGCCAGAACTGAAGAAAAATGAGGTATTGTAATCACATAATTAAGAAAAAGGCATTTTGCAGATCCAGCTGGAATGACTGACTGCTTGGAAAGCTGAGGGAAGTACAACAGGAGAGACTGTGCCTTTACAGCACAAGGACAGCAGTGCACATTATACAATGTACAGGAACTGAACTTCTGTGAGAAGGTAAGCCATCCCTGAGAGATGAAATACTTCAGAATAAGATACAGGTTATAAGAAATTCAAAATACAGACTGATGAGGTGACAAAGGGTCTGTACAGAACCTCCCCCTCTGACTTGCAAAGGGCAGGGAAGGGTTTCTAATCCAGTCCTTACAACGTGTCTGCTTTTGCTAAATGGGCAGATAAAGGTGGCACTTCATGCTCAGTGCAGCCACATCCTCCTCCCCTGCAGCCATCACTGACCTTCACCTGATACAATTTGTACAGGATTTTTCCAAGTTCCTTCAACACTCCAAGTTCCCACATGAAATACCAAATAAACTCTCCAATAACAAGCCAAGAACCCCAAGCCAGGACAAGCTGTGCCTGGATGCTGACCCAGAGCCATTCTCATTTGCAGCTGGAAAAGGGGGAAAGGGAAGGGAACCTGGTGGCTTCCTGCCTGGCACTCTCAATGGCAGAAAAGGACTGAATTATGTCAATATGTGAACATTACAACAATTGCCTTTCTTGGTCTCTATTTGGAATGAAGAGCCAATGGACAAAAATCAACCTCAGTGCTTTCTCCATTTGAAATTCTCCTAGAATTACATCAGTAGGACCAATCCTGACCTTCCTGGACAGGTAAATTGTTGGGATACAGAGTTTTGCCTCATCTCACTATTATTTATCAGATAAATACTGATTTATGATCCTACTGTAACTGCTGATCAAATCATTTAAAAACAGAGCAAAGAAAACCATAAGTGGCATTAAGTGTTAAAAGCAACCAAAGAGATGTCCCTGTCCAGGTGCTCTGTAAGGAAAGCCACACTGTTCCCATGAGAAACACCAGGACTACAGAAAGGCTGCCTTGGAAGGAGTGCAGGGAATTTGAGTGAAGATATGAGTTTGAAAAATCATATTAACAGTTTCCCAAATGCTGGGAAAAAATGTCCCAGCTTGCGTGGGAATGGCACATCAGACAGGCTCCAAAACCAGGCCTAAAGAAAAACACCAGAGTAAGACAAGCCTGGACCTTGACACATCATCCATGAAATGTTCAACCTTCTTTTATTATGTAAAACAGCAGCTTTGGCTTTTTGTTCTTGCAGCAGAGAATATGCTGAGGGCTGGGATGAAAGCAGGGAGCTGGATCTGCCAGGACAGCAGGACATGGAGCAGGGAAGGAGCTGTGCCCCAAGAACTGCCACTGTCACATCTGAGGGATTGATCAAAGGCCATCAGCATGACTGTGGCATTCTGAGGACATTGATGCCTTTTCCAGGAGATCCTTTGTTACCCTCTGAAAGCAACACGTGCCTTAGGGTGCTCCTTTCCCACTGCCAGCCCCTGGAAAAGTTACTGACAGCAGTTAAGGTGTTACTAAAACTATTAAAAACTATTCCTCCTTGTCCTAGGGGATCTCACAAACCACTTGCAGCATCAGAATATTTGTGGGAATTCAGCCACCTCAACATGTGCCATGTTTTTATTCCCTTTGATTATTTTCCACCAGAAAGCCCAGAGTTGAGTTCAATTTCCCCATAGGTGATTTAGTGGAAGTTTAATGGAAGAAAACAATCTGCCAGACTCCTTGGTGATTCCCTCTGTATGAATCAGCTGCGGAAAAATTCTGGACTTAAGGCAAAGTTGCTTTTATAATAAAGCAAAACATCTTAATTTTGTAAGGACAATGAAGCACTTTCACAAAAGAGTGAGGCAATCGGATTTCAGACACTGGAGACAAAGAATCAGCTTAATAGAAAAGTGATAACATAATTTCAAGTGTCATTAAAAACAACAAAGATTGATCACTCAGATGTCAGGGAAGAGGAAAATCAAATTCCAGCCTTTTATATGCATTCCATCCAGGCCTCACTTGCACCCCATAACATACAATTACTGAGCTACTCTGGATGCCTCACTCACAGGCTCTTTGTGTTTCATTATCACAAAATATAGTGAGCCTTTATTAATTTACTGTAGTCAAACTGTCAGTTATACCCTGAGGTTTGGGCTTTTCTTCCCTCTTTTAAATTACTATTCCCCAAACATCTTATAATCTATTTGCTGTCTCAGTAAGTACAGCAGATAAAATTAGACAGTAAATTAGATTATTTTGTGGGATCTACTACCAGGAAAATCTCCATAATTACTCTGCTATGCTTAACCTTTCCTGAGCTGGGCAAGTGTAATTCACTTGGTACCAATCACTCAGAACCCTGCAAACAGAAATTGCAATAATGGGAATCTCTCACATTTGTGGGAAGCACTAAGGAAAACCCTGCATTAGGGATGTGATGTGATCCTGCAATCACAGACTCCATAGAGCAGAAATGAACATGGCACAAGTGCCCTCAGCTGTCATCCCCTCACTGCAGGCAAGTGTTACATGTCCAACCATGTTTCTGCAGGAATTTTTCAATTACACACAATTTTGCTAAACTGAACAGCAGAAAGCTGCTGCAGAGCTTGCTGGACTTTACAGACATTAAAATGTCACTGCCCAAGTCCTTTCAATAGTTTAGTTTCAGATGAACCATCTCATCTGCTGCAGGTTTTTCAGCACCTGGGGCACCTGCATTTGTTCCTTCTCCCACAGACATGTCCATGTCCCAGGATAAATGAAGATACAATATATGCTGCTGGAGCACACACTGCACAGTTTTCAGAGCAGATCATTTTCCAGACACTTCTCTGTGCCTGTGTCCCAAGCTCTGGGGACAAATCCACCTGGAACTTCCTTCCCAAGTGAGGAATTGTCAAAAGCACAAAGTGACTCCTGCACTTGCTGAAGAACAGATCCTTCCCACAGCAGGATCCTCAGCCAGAATGGAGACTGAAATAAAAAACATTCTAGGTAAGAAGGCTCCAAGTTGGTTCAAACCTGAAGAGCCACTCAGCCTGAACAGAACAGCTCCATTCTAACCTTTTGTGCCAGGCAATGTTGGAGATTTCACTTAAGAAGGTTTCCCATAAAGGGCCTAAGATTTATTCCAATAACTTCACACTTCAGAGCCTCCCCTGCTTCCTTGCATTTCCCTCAGCATTCCCCATATTCCTGGCAGAGACAGCACTGACTTGGGGCTCATGGAGCCAGTCCAGCTGGAAAGCAGGAGGACATTGCCAGTGCAGAGCCCATGGATGACACCTGTCCGTGTGCCACTGCCACCATGGATCACACACCGGGCTGGAGTTTGGGTTCTGGAGCTCCTAGG